ACCCTGACCCAAAACTTTCACCAAATGATCCTAACCCAATTTGATGCCAAGATCAAAGTTCTCAAATCTTATAACGCAAAGGAATACTTTGCTAAACCATTGACATCTTACCTTCTCAATCATGGGGTTATCCACCAGAGCTCTTGCCCTCATACACCTTAGCAAAATGGAGTTGCAGAAAGGAAGAATAGGCACATCTTGGAAGTGGCTAGAAGTCTCATGTTTACTTCCAATGTTCCTATTCACTTCTGGGGTGACGCTATCCTCACGGCGGTATATCTTATTAATCAGGTCCTTGATATGAGAACTCCTTTTTCCCTTCTATACCCAAGTGAGGAGTTGTTTTCTATTCCCCTTAAAACATTCGGTTGTACCTGCTTTGTTTAGCTTCTCGGACCCCATCACTCCAAGTTCGAACCCAAGGCCTCCAAATGCATCTTCCTTGGTTATGCACAAACTCAAAAGGGTTATTGCTGCTATGATCCTGTCTCAAGGAGGAAGTTTGTCTCCATGGATGTCACTTTCTTTGAGGGGACACCCTATTATCCTCGGGTTTCTCAGGGGGAGAGCAGTGAGAGTGGGGCAGTTCCTTTACCTATTCCATTGGGTGATGAGAGATGCAATGGTGAGGGTGGTCAGAGGGATCAAGAGTTGAGGGAGAGCTGCAATGGCGAGGGTGGTCAGAGGGATCAGGAGTTAAGGGTCTATCACAGGCGGTGCAGGCAGGTTGATCCCGATCATCAGCAATCCAGGCTAGCTCCAATCTCATCTGCAGCTCCAAGTTCAGGTATTACAGTCCCAGGGCCCACAGACTTCCTCTATTGTTGCCATTTCACCTCCTACAGATGAACTTGACCTTCCGATTGCCGTCCGTAAAGGGAAACGACATTGTACAACATCTACAACCCACTGTATTTCCCAGTTTTTATCCTATGATCGCCTATCTCCTACCTACGGGTCCTACCTTAGTTCCATTTCCAATGTCCCTACTCCAAGAATAGTGCAAGAAGCCCTATCCGTCCCGGAGTGGAAAGATGCAATGCAGGTTGAGATGGATGCCTTGTTAAAAAATAACACCTGGGAGGTAGTTGATCTGCCCAAAGGAAAGAAACCAGTTGGATGCAGATGGGTATTTACGGTGAAGCATAATGCAAATGGATCCATTGAGAGGTATAAGGCTCGGTTAGTTGCAAAAGGGTTCACACAGACTTATGGCATAGATTACTTGGAGACCTTTGCCCTGGTAGCCAAGATGACTACCATTCGGGTCCTATTATCCCTTG